CGAAAGATGCCCTTTCTCTCAGTTTTCAAAGGCTGGGTTTGGGTTTTCCTAACAGTTGTGGATGCAGAAAGTGTGGGGAATCCTGTGCAAATTTTTTAAAAATTCTGTTCCGAGACTTCTGCATTTCACTTCTTTATAAAGGGGGCTTTGGCAAACCAGAAATATAATTCTCTTTCCCCCCTTTTTTTTGGCCTTGTGTCTAAATAAATCTGCATTATACATAGATATAGCAGTTTTGCACCATCGCAGCTTCCATCCTTTGGAATCCTGGGAGATGTAGTTTGGCAAGGCGGTTTGTGCTGTCTGCTAGAGCGCTTTAGGGCGCCTGTAGAATGAAATCTATAACTGCATCACCATGCTGCAGGATGGGGACCATTTAAAGTAGCCTCCGACTGCTCTGGCTGTGTAATGCAAGTCCCCCTTGGTCCTCGTCCAACGGTCTCCGGATGTTCTTGGACTACGACTCCCAGAAATCCTGGCCAGCACAGCGAGTGGTGAAGGCATTTCTGGGAGATGTAGTCCAAGAACATCTGGGGATTCAAAGCTGGAGAACCACCAGCCTGGTCAAACACATTGATGGCAGCTGCCTCCCCTTCTGGGGTTTTTCATGTGCCAAAATTAACCACCGGGAAACTATTAAGTCGGGAGCGCTGGCTGCCGGAGAAACGGGCCTGGCTCTTGATGCTGTTTGAAAGCAGGAAGGGTTCCCCTTGGGATTTTTTGGATTGATTATTCCCAGAACTGATATTTTTGTGTCAAGGAGTGGCAGGCTCTTGAATGCCATTCTTGAACTAAAGGGGGGGGGGGAATGAGAAAACAAGAAGAGAGAAGAGCAGGCCAAGATGATGCCAAGACGGTACCAACGCTGGACCCTCTTAAAGGGTCAGTTAGAGCAAGTCTTAACGGGGGTACGTGTGCTCCCCTAAATGCAGTGGCACTCACTTCCTTTTATTTAGGGTTGCCGTTGTAGGTATGTGTGCACGCACAAGTAACCCACCCCCCGTATGTTTGAACTCTTGTCTCCAAATGACAACTTTGCAAGAAATTCCTAGACATGATACTTCGGTACGGCTCGGTTTCACGTCTCCCCCCTCCCCCCGAGTGCATGGGAAGTTGCGTGTGTGGGAATGGATGAGGGAGAGAGATTTGTAGTGGACATGTGCCATTGTGTGTCTTAATTTTTTCCCCGCCCCCTGGCAGACTTAATTGTGGAAGGGAGGGTTGGGGTCCTTGGATAAAATGTACCCTTCTGTTGGGTTATTAATACAGGTTTTTAATAAAGGAAAATAAAGCATTTAATATCTTAACGCTTGTACATTTGGATGTCCTGGTTTACTTAGCCACCGAACGGAAGTGAGGGGTCGGCTGCAAACCCACACCGCCGCGGGCAAAACAATACCATAGACCCTTTTCTGCTGGAAAACTGGTTGCACCACCCCAGACGTTTCTTAATGGGGGGGGCTGTGCTTTTTAGGCCTAATGTTCTCCTCATTGGGGCACCTCGCCCTTCCAGACGCTAAGCTAGTTCTTGAGTTTCCTTTGAGAGATCAAGAACCGAAAAGCACACAGCTTGCAAGTGGGTGGAGCTGGCTTTGGTTATTTTCTCTGAATGCATGTGGTTGGTTCGATAAGGCGACTTTTTGGAAAAACTGGGGTTTGATCCTCTTTCTATTCTTTTTTTCGCCATCTACTGCTATTGGTTGTGCCGGGTGTAACTTAGCAATTGTGTCTCCCGCTTCCCCCCCCCCCCGGCACGGTCTGGAGNNATGATTCTTTATTGTGGAATACTGCGGTGAAGATGATTGACTCTTGCAAACCAAGGACAGTTGGAAGGCCACCAGGCTAGCCTTTGGTAACGGCAACACACGACACGCAGCACAGACGTCATCTGTGAAGTGCTGTCTTTATTGATATGGTGTAAACGCTTGTAAAGCGGATGGGACTCCCGGTTCAAGAAGGGCCCCGGATGGACCCTCAAGCAAGGAACTGTCCAGGTCTCGGTTTCGAGGTCCTGACACCTCACCTTCTGCATCACAGAGGCAGGGAGAGAAGTCACAGGGCGCGTGGAATTCCTGCCTCACTCAAAGACACAGAAACCACCACCTTTCAGAGGGCCTGGACGTCGAACCCACCAGCGTTTTGGTTCTCTCCTTTGCTGCCTTTATTAAAGGGGGCAGAGCTTGGAAAAGTGGCCGACTAGCTGGGGGAATCTGGTAATTGTAGTCCAACTGTTAAAGCAACAGCAGTAGAAATGCACCGTAGGCAAAAGGGAAGGGCCAGGAGAGAAACTACCCCACTGACAATCATATTTAAATATGTTACCTTTAAGGAACCCTTTTTAAACTCCATGAGGACTAGCAGCAGAATGCCACTTTTTTTTTAAAACCACAACAAACTCTTTTTACTTTTGTCACCCCTTAATATGTAACGGTCTGGGTGCGAGAACGGTGAGGGCTCTTAAATACTAAATATTGGAAGGGATTTTGCAACTTACAGCTTGCCAAAAAACAAAAACAAAAACAGTAACTTGCTGAAACCTCTTGCATTCAGCTCCCCAACAGGTAGAAGCCCCAACCTCTTTTTTCTTTTCCTTTTCTGCATCTGGCCATCCTCCACCCCCCCTTCCGTATCAAAGAATTATCAAGATCCACACAAACCGTCTGCTAGGTCTTGTCTGAAATGGGACCCAGCCTTTCTCTTCTCTTCTGCCTGGCCTTCCCGCGCTCCTTGAAGCAGCACCGGAACCCTATTTTATGTGTGCGTGTGTGTGGTTTATAGAAATATCAAAATCTGGGTGCCAACAGGGAGGAAACCTACAGCACACCCACACTTCAATTTTGCTGGAGCAGGAGTGAAAAACGACGCTGTCGCCTTTCTCAGGCGGGTCCAAGCAACACCGGCCTTGTTGCACCAAGGAAAAGAACGTGCTGGAGAAGGGAGGGGGAAAAAATCAAAATAGAGTTCACCTTTTTACAAAAGACAGGGGCCGCAGCAGCCAGAATAAAAGAGAAGTGGCTTATTCTAAATAACATTTTGTCCCGTAGGCTGGACAAAATAAAAGGAGGCAAGAGGGTGACATTTTAAGGGGTGCTGAAAGAGGAGTCAGCTTAGGCCGGGGGTTTCCGGAAGACGCCCCAAGCGTGGAAGCAACGAGTGAAGGCCGGCGGCTCGTTCCCTTTCCGGACCAAGCGGAGTTTCCGCGGACGGCTGGCATCTTTGGAGCGCATGTGTTGGATGTAAACCTGGGAGCAGAAAAGAGACGGGAAAGTTCAGGGCGGAGGACCCAGACGATGAGAAAGACACAACGGGACATTTAGGGTAACCGTAGTCTAAAATGGGAAAGCTTGTCCCTTCCGGAACGCCAGCGGCTCGGATGCTAGCCCTGCGCAGCCTTTCTGTGGCTACAGCCATAAACACCGTATGAAAGAAATCTAGGACAAATCAGGTTCGTATAAATCACGCAGCAAACCTTGTAAGGTGGTGTGTGAAGAGAATCAGGTTCGTATAAATCATGCAGCAAACCTTGTAAGGTGGTGGGTGAAGACTTGGATCTAGTCTGTGGCCCCCTTTGAAGGTGCCTGCCCCCCCCCCCGGTTGAGAATGGCTGCATGAGGCCCCCAAATCCACATTTCTGGGTTTTTCAGGTAAGCGAGAAAGTCTAATTCAATTTGAACAAAGCCGTTTGTGCCGATTATGCCCAAGGCCAGGATTTTGGCTCCCAAAATATTCTGGGTTTCAGATCCCACACAATCCTTCAATGTTTCTGGTCTTCACTGAGGCTTTTTGGAGCGGAAATTTCACCAACATCCTCCTGCAACCAATTGCCTTCTTCAACCTCGGTGACCTGAATCATTTCCAGCCAGTGTGTTTGTATTAATGACAATGCTGGCTTGGGGATGATGGGAGATGCCTGAAGGGGCCGGCTGAGGCTCTAACCTGGAATTGTGACCGCTTCCAGATTTACCTGGCAAGCTTTGAGACTCAGCTTGATTTCCACTTGACTCGTCTGTGTCCCCACCCACATGTACACCTGCAAAAGGGAGAAAAAAGAAAATATTTTTTAAAAACATAGGAACAGCAAAATATCCACTGGAAACAGCTCCACGGCGGAAGAGTGTTTCCATTTTTAACCCATCCCGCATAATTGAACTACAGATGTAAAATTTCCATTTTTTTTTTCTGGAGGGAGGAGCCCATTCCCATTTTTTCACCCCAGAAAAAAAATGGAAACTTTCAGAAGTTTTACAATTCTAGATTGAACGCAATCTGTCTTTTATCTCCAGGATTCTGGCAGGAGATTCTGCCTGGGTAGATGCCCCCACCCCACCCCCCAATCCTCACCTCGCGGCCGTTGTCGAGTAACATGATGTCATCATCAGCCAGATCATCCTGGCAGAAGTCTGAGCATTTTTCGGACACGGCAAAATAGCCCTTCTCGTTGGAACATCTGGAAAGGCAAAATGACAAAAGGTCTATAAATCTTTCCTTTTCCCATTGCTGACCCTGTCCTGGATTCAAGCAAGCTGAGAACAACACTCGAGGCGCAAGGCCCTGTGCAACGTTCATTTTAAGGTTAAATGATCAGAACCAGATCTTAACAGCAGGAAGTTCAAATTTGTTAAGAGCCGTGGGAGGCGGTCCTTGCGCCCACATGATGCTGCTTATAAGAATCACCATGTGCATTTTTTAAAATGCACGTTGCTAGTCCTCAGGAAGCTGCTGAAAGCGCAGGAACGATGCCAGCTACAATTTCAGACTTCCCAGCCATTAGTGGGGCAGCTGTGGGGAAGAGGCGATTACGGGGAAGAGGAAAGGGGGAGAAGGGGGCGAGGACGGACGAGCCGTCGCCAGGGTCCCTCACCTGAACAGTCGGGAGTATTTCATGTACTCAGCGTCTCCGTCGTAGGGCTTCTGGGCTCCGATGCCAACCCAAAAGAAGTTTTCTGGCTCTTCTCCCTCGTTAATGACCTGGAAATGAGCAGGGGAGGTGTTAATCCTTAATAGAAAGGTGTGGAACTGCAGCTTAACAATTGGGTCCCAGAAGTTCCCTGCATCCGCCCCAAATATCGGAAGGGCGCTACTGGTTTCTGTGTCTCCACCTTCCCAAAAATGTCCTCCCATTCTGATGGAGAGCTGGCAAAGTCCTCGTCGTCGTCATCATCCTCTTAGACCTGCTGAGCCGGAAGAGACCCTCTGGATCGCGGAGTCCAGCCCCTTGTTAAGGATGCACAAGTAGGGGGATTGAACTCCCAACCTCCAGCTCGGCCGGCAACCACTAAGCAAGCCAGCCGTTTATTGCCTTGAAGTTTAAAAACAATTCTTTCACAGTTTTGTGTGTGTTTGCGGAAGGTCCACAGAAGACGGAAACATTGTTCTAAGAGTGAAATTCATCAAGGACGTTTGAGGAATTTTGCAAGGGCTTTGAAACAGAGCAGGTACCCACTGCAGATGCTGGAAATCAGACGAACATTTCTCTCTTGCTGCCGTTCAGATTTTGCAAGCAGAGTTGGGGGAAAAAAAAGGAATGAGGCCTCTTGATCCATCTCTTCTTCCTGCACTTTTCTTCTGCTCAGACTGTCCGGGCGCTGGCCCCAGCCTCACCTGTTTGCTGTAGGAGTCATCAAACATGTGGTTCATGATGTCCTCGGCCAGCTTGGCCTCGTCGGGGTCAGCAGCCCGGCCCACCCAGGTATAAACGATGCCCTGGTTATCGGTGCTCTCAAAGGGAACCTGGAGAAGAAAGGGCCCCCACCGTTTGTTAGGAGAAACTATGCAAGAACCCAGAAAGACACCGTGTTCTCTTTTAAAAAATTGCAGTCAGCGATGGCGTCTTGGTAGATGATTCTAACACAATGACGTGGATGGAGGCCACGGTCAACCTGGCTTTTATAGGAGGTCCATCAAGCTCTTGAATCAGCTACCAAGTTCTGTGTCGCTGAACCTGGTCTTTATTCGTAAGTCACTGCCTGTCATTTTCGACCCAACCTGCTGATTGTAAAGATGTTTCGATATTTTATCACCATCATAGTCTTAGTAAAATTAAAGGGGAGCCATTCGGAGAACGTCCGTCGAAAGCCTGAATGACTTACTTCCGCCTTGTTATCTTATCAGTTGCTTTGTTCCAAAACCAACAGTACTTGTTTTGTAAACTATCTCCCAAACTGTCGTTTTTAAATTGTACTTTAACTTTTAATGCATCTCCGAAGCACATTTTTTAAAAAGCAGTTTTCATTTTCAGGGCAAAATAAATTACTGACAATCACATAAATAAACAGATCCAGTTCTGTAACTGGGTGTTCCCAAATACGTCACCTTTAAGATGAAGCAGAACTCAGAGTTGAGAAGGCTGGAGTCTGTATTGATCTGGATGCATCTAAAAAGAAAGGAAGATTAAAAAAAAAAAAACGGGAGAAACCGCACCGTCACAAAAAAACAGATGGAAAAGATGGAAGTGGTATCGGCCACTGAATTTCCAGGTGCCGCATTTTTAAGGACAACACTGACAACTCAGTTGTGCCTGAAGCAGGGCGACATGAATGATGAAAAGCCTATTGACTCATCCTTCAGTCATTGATTCAATGGGTCTCCTCTAGCAATACAATTGAGGGCAGAATTCCCATCTGGTCTATACGCTCTGAGTGGTCATATAGACCAGATGGGCGGGATATAAATCAAATAAATAAATAAATAAATCTTCCGACCTCACTCTCCCAAATATCCCCTGGATCCTATGACTGGCAGCCCCAATATGAAAAACAACATCTTGTTTTTTGACGGGACAAAGCATGAATCTAAGAAGGAAACTGCCAGGGGTGGGGAGAGGGCAAGACCTCAAAGGGATCGTGGGAGGGGGGGGGAGGCTGTGCTCACCGAGTGCAGAGGGCACTGCCGTTGGTCCGAAGGTGGTAGAGGCTGGGTTGGAGACTGTCCTCCTTGGCTTTCCGTCTGCCGCTGTGGATGATGAATTTTCGCTTGAAATGAGACAAGAACTTGGGGTTCTCTTGCTGCTGGGTCATGCGGACCACCTGGAAAGGGAAGGAGAGAATCCTCAGCCCTGATTCAGAACAATCGTCCATCCTCATTTATTCTGCCAGATGACAGGAGGACCCCCCATATCCACAGGGGAGGAGTTCCAAAGGCCCCTCCCCGACCGGATGCTGGAAACTACAGATAGTAGCAAATATTATACACAGCATGGTAAATGGAAAAAAATCCAGGGGAAAAAAGGTATTTTACATGTATTACCAGAAATGGATACTAGAGGGAGCCAGAGACAGGCTATGGTACGGGTTTTGTTATATCTGCGGATTTCAGCATCCGCAGCCAGGGGGGAAGGGATATCCTGATCCCAATGTATACACAAAAATATTCTCTTTTTTGTGACTCGCCTCCAGCTTGCCAGGGAAAAGGTTCTCGAATTTCTTCTGGAGGGTGAACGTGAAGGTTAGCCAGCCCATGTTGGAGGCTTCCCGGCCCTGCCAGAAGTACACGACGCACTGGAAGTCTTCCTCCGGCTGCTTCTCCTCGTCTTCCTCCGCCTCCTCGTCCTCTCCCTCCGCCGCCCCTTCCCCTTGGGCCTTCTTCTCTTTCTTCTCCTCGTCCTCTTCACATTCCACGGGGACCCAGTACCTTCCAGGGCAAAAAACGGGAGGAGTCAGACCTCGCCGGAGGCCAAAATGAGCTATTCGATGAACGGACCCGAAGGGGGTCGCTTACCGGCAGAGGAAAACGTAGCAGTCCTGGGTGTAGAAATGACCAAATTCTTCCTCCGGCAGGCGAGCAAACTTCTTCCCCTCCAGGACGAAGCCCTCCATGCCGTCCAGGTCCTCGTTCCACTCCTCCATCAACTGCTCCGCCTGACCCACAACCCCAAAAATAATGGGAGACACACAGACACACACAAGAGGCATGAGCCGCAGATACCCGGAGAGGAAGGTTGCCGTAAGACCCATCGGCCCATTTCGGGGCCAGTAAAGAACAGCAACATGCTGCTTAGTGCCCCCCACCTGGGGCGGGGGGGAGGTTGGAAGGAAATGGGGTGCTATTCTAGAGAGCCACATTAGGCAAGGCATTGAGGCAAGAATCATCCTCTTCTCTGCCCTTCCTTCACCTGCATTTAAGCCATGAAAAGGAGCCAAGAGGCAAGGACAAAAACGTTCCAAGAGAAGATCCATTTAGCAGGTGAACAGGAATGACATCTCCCTTTTGTGCTGTACCAGAATCCAGAAAAGCCACTTCCTAGATCTCACAAGCACCGTAAGGGGGTGTGCACATGTCTAGCTGTGTCTGCACACAGGGACGTTAACACCGATTGCAGTATTGGTTTGGGGGGACCTCACACCCGCATTGGGCAGCTCTTAAGGAGACCTTGCAGGAGATGCCTGTATCTACAGATAAGATTTCCACAGCTTGCAATTCCGTTTTGGCTGGCAGAAAAGACCGGGGGATTTCGGCACTCAGCATCCTAGCGCGGAGAGATCCGAGGCCTTTACAACCAAACACGGGTCTCGCTTTTTGGGGGTTCAGAGATAAGCGAAGGGCTGCCTAGCGGTCCCGCGCTTCTTCCCCTCCCCGAGGTACCTCCGCGAGCGGCATCGGGGGCTGGCGCGGCAGGAACAGAGCTGTCAAGTCGGCTTTCATCTGTTCCTTCTTCTCCGCGTCCTTCTGGACTTTCCCGGAGAGGCCCTCGGCCTGCTGGACCGACTCTGCGTTCCTCGTGTAATCCACCTTCAGCACATCGTCCCAATTCTTGAATTTAGATTTGAAGACCTAAGGCAGGAAAGACGGGCATCCACATGAAAAAAAAAACAACTCTGGCCACACAGGGAGGGCCTACCTTGAAAAAACTTATTATTAAGAGGAAGGTTGATCTGAAGGCTGGCATCGCGTAAAATTATGTTTATAATCATGCCCTATAGATTCAACTTGAGGGCCTTTCTTTTGTCCTGGGGGGGGTTTGTTTCACAGATCTCAGGTGGATAAAAACGGCCGTAGCCTTAACTCCTGCAATACGACTCCCATCGAGCAATGGACCCCCCACCCTTGCCTGCATCCCACCTCCACCTTCACCCCCCAGCGCACCTGGCACTCGGTTCCCTCCAGGTTCCGGAGAACCATGGCATGTTTGGGGCGGTGGAGCATGCTGCACAGTTCTTGGCCCAGCTTCAGGGCCGCCGCCCGCACCAGGCGGGGCGACTTCCGGCCGATCCAGATGAAAATGTCCGACCAGCAGTCCAGGATGTAGACCGACTTCGTGTCCAGCAGGCTGTGAAGCTGAGGAGGAGGAGGAGATGAGGATGACGACAAGAGGGCAAGGGCGGAGCGCTAGGGGGATCGCTCGGTCCGTTTCAGTTCAACCACCACCCCCAGGAGCTAGGGTGACGATGACAACACCCGTCGTCCCGTTTCACAGCGCTTGGTATTTTAAGATAGACTGCCTAGGAAGGTGGAGGCTCTGTTTTGCAATCCAAGGTACCATCCGTTCCTAGAGGCTACGAATTGACTGGCTCAAGAGAGCTGAACGTCGGCATGGTTTTGCACCTGAATTCCGGCCAGCCAATGTGTCCCCACCACCAAACCGTTAAACCGGTTTGACACTCCTCCATTCGCTCCCCTAGTTAGAAAAGCTGTCGACTGAGGACGTCTTTTGGATTCTCTGCTACAGAGACCTTGACATTTGCCCGAACAGCATTCCAAGGACCTCATTTACCTACCACCCCCAGAATCGCAGGGGGCCATTAAAAGGCGACCAGATTCAATGTGCAGTTCAAGTGCGGTCGCTCCTGCCTAAGGAAACTCAGGCGGCTCCTACGAGAGACTGGAGTTTCCACTCCTCCTTGGTCTGAGAGAAAACACGCACACGCCCACCCGCCCTTCCCAGTGGTGTCCTACCAGCCTCATCTCTGGCAGCAGATCCACCTTCGGCCTTTTCTTGTGTTCCACCGAGAGCCGGTAATTGATTTGGGGGAGCTCCAGGTAGCCCAGCCCCAATCCAACCTGCGTGGGAGGAGGAAGAGAAGAAGTGGGTTGGATTTTTGGCTGGGCTCTCTTTCTCTCTCTCTCTTTCTTTCACACACGCGGACGCCCACCTTGTAGAGTTTCGGCCTGGGTGGCTTGAAGTCATCGGGGACGCTGATCTTGATCTCCTCGGGGTGCCCTCCGACCACTTCCCAGAACTCGGGCGTCTCCTGCGTCTGGCTCAGCAGCAAGATTTCCGCTTTGCCCTTCCGCTCGTTCTTATTGATCTTCTCTGCAAAAAGCCTGCGGGAAGAGAGAAAGGCCGCTGCTGTTCGTCCGTCACTCGGTCCAGAGGAAGAAGGTAAACCGTTAAGCGGCCACGCTCCCCGTTTCTGGGTCCTACCTGGCTTTGGTGGTCGCGCTCAGAGTGGCCTGGCTCCCCCGCCAAACGTAGATCTCGAGGCCGTGGTCCAAGAGGAAGACGAAGCTGAGGATGATCCGAGGGAAGGAAGGGTGTGGGGGTGAGGAAAGCGCTCCAGGCTGTCAGCCGTCCACCCCCCCAAACATTTGAGATACAGGTATTAAAAGCCACGGATCTGTTTTTTCCCCTTTGATCTGAGGAGCGGCAGTTTCAGATCAACTCACGTGGCCTAAGGAAACCCACCCCCCATGCCTTTACCGGGGGTCCAAAGCTGCTGCCTTCAACGGGACCGGTTCCAGTTTTATGTTCTTCTTGCCGTAGACGCGATAAAGCCTGGATTAAAAAAGGGGCGGGGACTTAATCATTGAAGGAAAGCTTGAATCCATCTGCTTGGATGGTGAAGAGCAGGAAAAAAATATTGTCTCTCTCTCTCTTTTTTTTTGCGGGAGGGGGTGGTGGTTTGAGTTGTTGATGGAATTTTCACCAGTTTTTCCATTAACCTCAGAAGATGTTCTGAGCATTGGCTGGTAGCCAAAGGACGAAGCCCTCCTAGTACAGACTCAGGTTTAGAGGCAGTGATAAGCTGGCAGGAGAGTTCAGTGGTTAAGGTCAGTAAGAGCTCCTGGTTGATCCTCAAAGTTTGAGTTTCCCAAAAAGCGATAAGGCGAGACCCTAAAGTCTTGCTCTCGAATCTGAGCCATGCACCCCATCCTCCCAAAAACGTTTGCAGGTAGCAGACGTAAGGAAAGGGGGGAGGGAAAGTCTTGGAAAACTTCTGAAGTTTGGACTCTGAAGAGTGCGGAACTCTAAAGGGTTTGGGGGATTTGGGGATTTGTAGTCAGGACTTAAAGTCTCTTCCTCCAAAGCCAAGCTGTATTATCCGATAAAGAACGTCCAAACACAGATTTTTTGGGGGACTGGCTGGACTCAAACGTAGTGAATTTAATAACCAGCCTGGGGAAGAAGCGATGGGGGTCTCGATCCGGATTACCTGGTGATGTAATGGACATCTTCCACCGTGTAGAAGCCGCTGGCGGTGCCGCCTTCAATGTAGGAGATCTCATGGTCGAACACCTACGGGCAGACATCCAGTTTTTAGATGTTGGAAAGGAAGAAGGGTGAGGAAAAGACAGTTGGAGAACGTGGGTCAAATAACAGGGAGATCCGAGTTCAAATCCCCGGCATGAACTTCAGTGTGTCCTAATTAATGACTCTCTGTTTAGCCTAAACTACCCTCCCAGGTTGTTGTGAGAAAGAGTTGGTGAGAGAGAAATTGCATCTTTTTAAAAATGCATTTTCCAAAAACGTCCATGTTTTAATTCCTTCACGTTGTAAGGGGGCTGTCACCAAGAAAACTAGCTCATGGCAAACCTTTGGGGATGTTAAAATGTGCCTTTTAGATGAACAGGACTTTACAGAGTTTCAGGCAAAAGCAAACCACATTGTAAAACACATTCACAGTGTAAGCAATTTGAGGTGAAAAACGTTTTTTCAAGCGTTTAACATTCTGGGTGACAAAATTCTTCCTTGTGTTGTTACGAGCATATGGCTGTATCTATGTCTTCACACAGTGCCATAGCCTGTACTCATTAAGTAAAAAAATTTCTCTGTTTCTCAGCAGAACTGAGCAAAATTCGGGGCCTTTATATCATGTACAGCAGGACCTCCTTATAAACAGGATTAGGATCCACGGATTAACTTATCCACAGTCTGAAAATATTTAAAACATTGAAAGAAAAATCCCTATATATATTTGCTTTTCAGCATCTGTGAGGGGGATTTTAACTGATCCACGCAGATATAGGGGTTCTACATATATCTTTTAATGGGTTCAAAGATGCACATGGGGACTGCATCCCCGTCACAACGACCCTGTGAGGTAGCCTTAAGCCTTCAACTTCCACAAAAGAAAGAAAGAAAGAAAGAACAGCTTACCTGGCTGAACTCCTCACTCTCGTCACCCATCTCCTCCCTGATGCTACGGCACTCGGCGCCCAGGTAGTTGCGCAGGTTGACGGCGTGGATGGCCGCACAGGCTTTCTTATCGAGTGACGACTCCTGCCCGATCCAGTAGTAAATCTCCCAGTTCAGGGAACCATTATCGTCCAGACACGTCTGGAGAGAGCCATTTGCAGAGTCAGACCAAAGATCAAACAGGTGGGGAAAGAAAATCCTTTACATGGGGTCCCATCGGATAGTCATCTATTTAAGTAATATTTGGGTTTTTTATCAGTGGGTTTCTTAGTTGCCTTTCCGCTTCCTCCACCTCCCAAAAAAATCAATGTGCAAACTGTCCGTGAAACAATCTCACAAGAGAAAAACAATGTATTGAATGAGTTAAAGGTATCAGCATCAAAATGGAAATTGTACTGTGGTGGGAGACACAGCACAGAGGAAAGCAGCATCTTCAATGCAGCACAAGTTAAAACTGGAACTCACTGCTGCAGGACGTAGCAACGGCTGCCAGCTTGGAGAGCTTTAAAAGTGAATTGGAGACGTTTATGGAGATCAGAAACACTAATGGCTACTGGTCAAGATAGCTATAGGTTTTCCAGGTGTTGTGAACTACAACTCCCATGAGCCTCACTGGCCATGCTACTTGGGGTTGATGGGAATTGTGATCCAAAGCACCCAGAAGGGCCTCTAGGTTGCCTACTGATGGGACAGAGTGTCAGGTTCAAGGACACCATCAAAATTCAAGGCTGTCGTGAGGACGAGAACCAAAGGATATCGTAGGGCGGGAGATCTCACCCGATGCTGTAAAAACCACTCCCTCACCTTCAGCACAATGTAACAGTCGGCCTCGTAGAACTTCCCGTGGAAGGCCTCGTCCACCAACGTGGGCACAAAATTCTCGATCTGCCAGACGGTGACGCCAGGAAGCTGCCCCACATCTTCCGTGAAAAACTCCGAGTAGTTCAGCTGCGGCTTCTCCAAACTCTGGTCCCAGCGACGGGTCTTGAGGTCCGTGTATTTTAGATCTCCATTCTCCTAATGGAGGAAAAACAAAGAAAAAAACACCAATCGAGAGGGGTGGGAGAGTAAGGGATCCCAGCAGATGAGCTAGCTAGACAATACAGTGGTGCCTTGCATTATGATGTTAATTTACTCCAGCGAAATTGCTGTAAAACAAAAACGTCGTCATGCGAAAATAAAAAGCCCATTGAAACACATTAAAGCCCGTTTAATGCGTTCCAAAGGGCTGGAAACTCACCATTCCAGCGAAGATCCTCCATAGGGCGGCCATTTTTGCTGCCTGTGCAGCGAGGACTCCATCCCAGAAAACAGTGGGGAGCCATTTTATTTACCCAGCGGCCATTTTGAAATCGCCGATCAGCTGTCGGAAAATTGTCGTTTTGCGAAGAATCGGTCCCCAAAGCAGGGAACCGATCATTGCAAAGCGAAAAAACCCCAGACCATCGTTTTGCGATCACAATTGCAATAGCAAAAAGATCGTCGCAATGCGGGGCAATCGTAAAGCGAGGCACCACTGTAAGGGATCCTAGTTACTGCCGCCATTCTAGACTCCAGGATCTTTGCACCGCCCCAAATACATGCACAAAGCTGTTTAGGTCCCCCGCTGTCCACAAACACACTTCTGTGGCTTTGTGCCTCCTACCTCCATCTTCTTGTTCTTCTCCTGAGCCACGTCGGACATCCCCTTCAGCACCTGCTTCGCTTGGTCATCCTGCGTAGAGTCCTTGCGCCTTCGCAGGCGCATCTTGCGTGCCAGGGGGTCCCGCGGGCTGCTCCCTAGGAGAGCAAAGGGGGTGACGGAGAAAAGGAAGAATAAATAAAGGAGGAGACAGGTGGAGAAAAGGGGCATGGAAACCACAGACCTACCACCCCCCTGCACAGGCACAGAGGAGCCCAAGGTTAGTTTCCGGGCTTACCTGCCCCAGCTGCCGCCACCGTGGCAGGGGAGGCACCAGCCAGCCGCAGCTGGTTCTGCAGGGAAAAGTCAATGTTGTACCACTCCGAAGTCCTGTCCACGGGTTTGGGGGGCATGACGAGGTTGGGGTTCTCGCGAACGTCCAGGATCTGCGGGAGGGAGAGAAACCCATTTATAGCCCGATAGAGGTGTGTGGAAAACTAGAGGGATGAAGGCAGGGACTACAGATCCTAGCATGCTAATCAGTGCTCACCAAACTGGCTGGGAAGGATGGGATTGGCAGTCCACCCTAGCTGGAGGGTGGCAGGCTTGTTAAAATTGGCCTAACCCCCACCCCCACCACACCTATCAGATTTCTTCACATGAGGCCTAAAATCATGTCACGGACTTCGTACAAGGAAATCTCAGCAAGCTGGTTTATTTTACACCTTAAAAATGTCCATGGGTATGCCATCCCCCATATCCACAGGATCAGTATCCACTGATTCACTTATCCGCTAGCTAAAAACACTAAATAAAAACCCACAGAAATACATATATATATATATTTCCAGGGCATGTTTACCAGAACTGGCCACTAGCCAGAATCCACATAATGTACAGCGTTCCCTACTTCCACGTTTTCCAGTATCCGCAGAGAGGGGCCTTGGAACCAATCCCCCGCACATACCGTTGTCCTACTGCAGTACGTTTTTAAAATAGAAAATCGCATTTTAGTCGTAGCTCCTTCCTCGAGGGGGACCCATTGAGCTCTCCCACCCCACCCCACCTGCTGCCTCTCCACCCACAGCGAGCCCTCACCTCAATGTCCGAGAGGAAGTGCACGGCTTCCGGTAACGTGACCAGGCGGTTCTTGTTCAAAACCAGCTTCCTGAGTTTCGCACACCTGGAAAAGGGGAGGGGAGACAGCAGAGAAACAGCATTGTCTTCCTCTGCACGCATGTGACCGCCGGAAGATGACCGCCCTCTCGGCATGGTGAGAACACTTGCTTGGCCGACTGAAAATGCCACGTTCGACCCCCGACCTTTCCTTCCAAGGCTCTGAAGAGTTTTTCCCAGCCAGTGTTGAACCATAAACAGAGCGAGGGAAAGCAGGTGCCTGCAAAAGCACCTTTCTTGTGTCCCACCAGCAGAGGCCACCATGAAGAAGGTAAGAAGGATGGAAGCGGTCTTAAGCACCGTCAGCCCCCTTGCTCCCTCTAACCCAGCCACAACTCTGTTGAGCAGCTGACTCTGAAATCTGCTAAGCCTGGATGTATGTGTAGCCGTGATTAAAGCTTACGGGTCGCTCACCGCTAGATGCTCCCAATTATGGAGCTGTTACGGAAGGCATAATTAGGAGGAGAGCTTTTTTTTAAGGTGTTGACAGAATCTGGTGGAGCAAAACATAAAGCCACTTCCGTGCAGAAGATCCACCAGGAAGCCCAAGACCACCGGAGGGAACCCTACCTTTCGCTGGGGGCTGCAGGGAGCAGGACGGGCAGAGAGGAAGGAGGAGGAGGTGGCTCAGCTTACCTGCACAGGCTCTCAGGTATGAGCTCCAGGTTGTTGTTAGCGGCCATGAATTCCTCCAGGCTGGCCAGCTTCCCGATGCCCGACGGAATGCCATCAAAATCCAGCTTGTTGGTGTTCAGGTATAGCTTCTTCATCTTGGTCAGCTTGCAGATGGCCGACTAGGGAAAGAGCCGGGGGGAATGCAGAAGGGAAAAAAATTATTAGCTCACTCCGAACGAGACGAAGAAATTCACATTTTCATTTGTAGGTTGCCTTTATTAACAGTGGACCCCAACACGGAGAGACAAAGCGTCAATAAATGTAGCACAGGAGGCCTGCCGTATCTACAGGGATCAGGACCCGTGGCTTCACTTCTCTGCTGAAAATATAATTTTAAAAAAACCAACAACAGAAATACGTGTTTCCAAGGTGTATTATCAGAACTGCCCACTAGAGGGAACCAAAGACTATGCAATAGGCAGGGTTTGCTATTTCCACAGTTTTCGGCATCCACGGCGGGGCTGGATCCCTCGTGGATACTGTGGTCCTACTGTATAATTAATAGGCCAAAAGTGGGTTGGATAAGAGCAGATGGACACAATCCTCCTTTGAGGAGCTCCATCCAATTCAAGGGTGCTTAAGAGACCGTCGCTAGGACAGGAGGAAGAATGGGAGAACTGTACGCTCCGATACAAAAGAGGGCGCCACCTACAGGCAGGGAGGTCAGCTGGTTGCGCGACAGGTTGAGGGTCTCCAGGTGCGTCCACTGGTCGATGCAGAGGGACAGCTCGGAAATCTGGTTGCTGCTCAAGTTGAGGCGCCGCAGGTTGGCCAAGGTGTAGAGGCACTCGGGGACCCGGCTCAGATCGTTACAGGAGAGGTCCACATCTGAAGACAGCCAGGAGGTTGGTTTCAAAAAATAAAAATAAAAAAGGAAGGGAAATCTATCAAGCTAGCAGAGGTCAAGGAAGAAATTATTTGAGAAGGGCTACAGCACATTTGAGGTGACCCACAACCTCCTTGGGGGTCCTGACCCCAGGTTGGGAAACACTGCTGTAGGTAAACTCTGTACAGGTTTATTCCTTATCCTTTTGCACAGATTTCCCCCCACCATCCTAGAGAACTTCGGCACAAGTTTAAGAACCCGAGACCCCCAGGCTGACAGAGGTCCTCAAAAAAACCCTGTATCTGCTCTGAATGCAACAAAACATAAGACACTTGTGTTATAAGTCTACACAGGATCAGTGCCTTTTAAAAGCTTCGTGGCCCAACACCAGAGGCAGACAGACGCTCAGGCGTGAATCTTCTCCCGCAGTGTACGCACCCGATAAGTTCACCAACGCGTCCAAGCTCGTCGGGAGGTTGCTCTGCGTGCGCTGCGTGTTTCTGAGGCGGAGCGTCTGCAAGGCGACCATCGCGGGAAGCTGCCTGCAGAGGGAAAGAGGCAAAGCAGGGAGACGACAAGACTTATGCTTTTGTTACCTTTCTCACCTTGCCTCAGCAATAAAAAAAGGAAAAGAATCGTGCTTAAACCTGCTAATCCCATCGCTATAAAATTTCACCTGCTAAACAGCGTTGGACCTGCTTAGTCCTTGGATGACAGACCCCCAGGGAACACTAAGGACCTCCAGATATAGGCCTGGAAAGGAGCTTTGCTTGCAAGGACCCCCAGATGGGGCTCACCCTTTTTTCCTGGTTCGCCCCCCCCTTACCTCAGCTGGGCGTGCAAGAGCGGGTTGTTATCCAGAATCAGCGTCTGCAGGTGCACCAGGCGCCGCATCTGGGGCGGCAGGCTCTCGAGCTTGTTGTCGCTCAGGTCCAGGTAGAGCAGGTCGGTCAGGTTGATGAAGAGCTGGTTGGGGATGGCGTCGATGCTGGAGGGGAGAGGAGGGGGGTGGGTGGAAAGAGGACACACCTGGTTTGAGCCGGCAGGTGGGTCTCTGGGTACTGACTCGTTTTGGGCCGGCTCGCCTGCAAATGAGATGCTGCAGCCGTGAGAGGCTCAAAACCGACGGACCATCATCTGTCAGGCCTTGGGAACGTTCCTCTTTTGAACTACAACTCCCAGAATTATCCAAGTGCACACAGTCTAGAAGTAGTGCTAAAAAAATCATATAGGAAAGCCAATTCCCAGCCCTCAGCCGCACGACTCTCTAGGGCAGCAGTTCCCCATCTTGGACCGCCCACCACCGCTCTTGGGCTACAACTCCCAGAAGCCTTCACCACGAGCTGTGCCGGCCAACATTTCTGGGAATGGTAGCACCAAGGTTGGAAATGACCACGCTAGGACAGCGTTCGCCCCATCTGGTGACCTCTAGATGGTTCTGGACTACAACCCCCATTCGCCTCAGCCAGCATGGCCAGGGAGGATGGGAGCCGTAGTCCAGCAACACCTGGCAGGGCCCCAGGGGCCCCTAACCCATGCTCCACAAGGGCCACATTTAATCAACGTTCAAAGCAAAGCTGGTGGAAGCGCCTTTTAAGCCAAGTCTGTTTTTCATTTCAAATGGTTTCTCTTTGAGTTGCTTTTCCCCCTTGGTGTTTGTTTTTTTTTTTAAAACTTATTTAAGCTGCTTTTGGGTGTTAGCGGCTTGGAAGGAAGACAGAGGCCACGGTTTTAGATAAACAAGGGGGACTCAAGAGGGTAAACAGACACAAGGAAATGGAGATAAAGGTTACTAACGATCTGTTTCTGCTGGAGTGAAATCCAGACCCCTGACCAGCACAGAGAGATCGCCAAGCTGCTTTCTTAACATTGATTTTTTTTTTTAAATGAATTGCTAACACAAGACATTCCTGCTGGGTTTTTTTTTCCAAGCGCTGGAAAAATCAGAGGTCAGAGCAGATTAAGAAAAGTTAGGAATTGCTTCGGAGAGGAAAATAATAGCAAGCACCACCCAATGTAAGGAAATCCAAGAGCCGGGGGGGGGGCAAAGTGGGGCACCCCACGTGTAGCTGGACTACAACCCCCATCAGCCCTAGGCAGTGGGGCCAACAGTAAAGGAAGCTACAAGACACATGTGGAAAAAAAAACCTGTTCCAGAAAAGCAAGACCTTCATGTATGGATCTAGACAAGGTTTCTTGAAACCAGTGTTCTTATATTTCTACAGGGCCAGCCTATGTGTCTACTCAGAAATAAATCCTATTGAGAGCAGGAGGGCTTACTCTCAAGTAAATATATATGATGCCAACTAAAGGTCTCTCTGGACTCAACTCTTTGACCTGAACCCATGGACTGCACAGCTAATTCCTGTGTTTGCATTTTTGGTAATTAACGATCTTGTCACTGCACTGACCAACTCTGATATACACAAAACATCCATCAACTTTTCCCCCCCTTCTTACGCAAGTGTAGGGCAGGCTGTCATTGATCAGCAGTTCTCCGCCACCGAGAGCCTCCGTGCCAAGGTCAAAGGTTTGAATTCAAACCCGGCTCAGTCCAACCCACACACAAGTTGCCCCCCCCCCAAAAAAAGGTCCTCGTCCTCTTTTTGCGCCAAATTCACCTGTTATGCTTCAGGTTCAGCACCAGCATGTTCTTGGCGTTTTCCAGCTCCCGGGGCACTTCCGTCAGCTGGTTGTAGCTCAGATCCTAGAAGGAACCCGTTATGTGATGGTGGGGACGCCATAAACCCAAAACTTCAGGTGGGGGCCGCCCACAGACATTCCAAGGGCCAAGAGCCAGACGTACCAGCACAGAGAGATCATCAAGCTGGAAAATATCGTCGGGAACGCCGGAGTTTTTCAACGAGTTCGCCCGAGCCACGATGGCCTGGAAGAGAGCCAGAAAAAGAGAGAGAGAGAGGGGAGGGTCACACGCGCAGGACGGGATCCAGACCGCCCCCCCCAGCTGACCCTTAAGGGGAGGGACGCGAACTTGACACTGATCTCAATTCCGAGTCACAAACCCTGGGATTCCCAAGGCCCCCCACCCCCAAAAACAACCTACCCGAAGGCAAGGCAAGCCGGAGAGTTCTCCATGAAGCGTGGTGAGGTTGTTGTGACTGACAGACAGATGTTCCTGGTTGGGAACCAAAAAGGAGAGAGAGAGAGAGTCTGACAAACGTGGAATGGGACGTATATTCGCCCTAACATGTGAACAAGCCTTTAACCATGTGAGTGTACAGATCAGCATTAGGTGGAGCTTAGGTGAAGCTAGGCCTAGCTGAGTTATACAGAACTAGGCCTAGCTGAGATATGGAACTAGGCCTGGCTGAGTCACTGAGAGCTAGGCCTAGCTGAGTCATAGAGAGCTAGGCCTAGCTGAGTGATACGGAACTAGGCCTGGCTGAGTCATATACAGCTAGGCCTAGCTGAGTCATAAAGAGCTAGGCCTAGGTGAGTCATAGAGAGCTAGGCCTAGCTGAGTCATACGGAACTAGGCCTGGCTGAGTAATATACAGCTAGGCCTAGGTGAGTCATAGAGAGCTAGGCCTAGCTGAGTCATATGGAACTAGGCCTAGCTGAGTCATATGGAGCTAGGCCTAGCTGAGATATGGAACTAGGCCTAGCTGAGCCATATCGAACTAGGTCTGGCTCAGTCCATACATGCTGAACATGATGTGCAAGTAACAGGTGGTGACAGGAGGGAAGATAGGAAACTGAGCAGAGCAAAGCAAAAAGACTCTGGGTGAAGATTTTCCATAGCAAACGTTCCAAAACTGATCACCAGGAGGGAGCTGCGCTTTCTCAGAAGGCTCTATTTTTGCCCTTCCTACCCCACAGATCTACACCTGGCTGCCCCCAAAGCCCCTTCTGATTCAACCCCCCCCCTCGTTCTCATGCTATCTTTCACCCTTCCCTTCTCGCTGCTGCTACTGCCCGACTCTTAACCCTGCACTTGGAAAGTCTGCTTTCTTCGACGTTCGTTTCTCATAGCCGTGGCAGCCGGAAGAATCTGTGAATAATTTCTGGAGCAACTTTTTCGAACCCTTCAGAATGAAGCTCAACCACATTCTCCTTTCCCTGTCCCTTCCCTTCTCCTGGATTGATTGATTCTGAAATCTGCCAGGCTTGTGTTTCTTCCAAACCCTTCTGCAAGCCGACAAGTCTATTTTTAGAACCTTGGAAGGGTGAGCAAAGGCAGAAACGGGTGGAGACTTTTGGAATAATGCAAATCCCTTCCATTCAAATTTATAACATGCTCCACTCTACAGAGACTTATTTATTCATTTTACTTGCTGGTCTCAGGTCAAAGGCTCACAAACTAAGAAGAACTTTACTATAAGAAAGCCAATTTTGTGGTACGTTAAGGATGATTTTTAAAAAAAATTTATTGGGCTACAAATCCTATAATTCCACAGCCTAGGAGTCCTACTTGTCTTACGCAGACCTTAAAGACACCTATATGGGGCTCACCTGGGAGGAAAGGCCTAAACAGGAAGGCTTTGAGGCTCAGCTAGGCCTAGCTCAACCTAAGGTTCCTGTTCCTGCCCCAGTGCCTGCTGGGAGCTTTCTTTCTGAACAGGATTCACACTCAAGCAAAACATGAACACATAGATCTTGTGAAGACAAGAGGAAATCTGAGCATAAATTTAGCAAGTACAATTGTGTCTCCGACCCACACGGACACTTTCTTTTTGAAAAGGAAACGAGGGATCATCCCGGCTCCTCACCAGCTTCTGAAGAGAGGAAAGCTCTTCCGGCAGATAACACAACCCGGTCCGATTCAGCTTCAGCCATCGCAAGCTGGTCATAGACTTGACATGCTCTGGAAAATAACCACCCTGAGGACCGGAAAGATTTCAGTTGTCAGTGCAAGAAACCGAATCATACTCAAGATGAACGATGGGGACATTTCTGGATTCTTCACTCACACAGGAGAGCTTCCACCCTCAGAAGGACTGAAGGATGTCCACATATTCTAGGATTAGGGTTGGTCCTATAAACAGGTCTTTTTGCACACTGGGTTTCCCAAAGGTCCTCTAGTCCCACCCTCCGGAAACCCGCAGACTCAAGCATCCTTGACAGGTGGCAGTCAACCTCTGTTTAAAAACCTCAAACAAAGGGACATCCCAATATTTTCTGAGCGAATTGGTTCCATTGTTGGACAGCTCTCAAGTTCCTCTCAAGCAGAACGGCTCCTCCCAGCTCTCGCCGGTGAGATTAACGGCCAGCATTCGCTAGATTTGAAGCCCAACATGATCTGGGACGGGAGACAATGGTCACCCTCCCTTTAAGAAAGGAACAGAGGATTTGAGTCTTGCCAGGTCAGAATCACAGAAGAGTGGAGCCGGAAGGGGCCTCGAAGGCTATCAAGTACCCCACCCCCCGGCTCAAGGCAGAAATCCAAATCAAAGCAGATCTGGAAAATTGTTCTCCAATTTTCCCTTGAATTCCTCCAGCAGTGGAGTGCTCACCACCTCTAGAGGTAACTAGTTCCATAGTTGTACTTCTCTGGCACAAGAAGGAGGTAATCCTTAACGGCTTTAGCCGCTTTAAAAGGGAATTACAGAAGTTGATGGAAAATAAGGGCTGCCCACTTCCAGGACTTAGATCACTGTTTATAATTCAGGCCCGCTGGTCATGGCAGAAAAATTCTCCAACGGAAAGCAAGTAAACCCTCACCAAAAATACAGCTCACTGCTAAAAATAACTCTGCTTAGTCCTTCGGGGAGAGGTCTGTGGAGCCCAGCAACGAGGCAGAAAGTTACAACCCCTCCCCCAAACAAAGTGGAGATAAAGGAACAGAAGAATGAGCAGGATGGGGGGTCCTTAGGCTGGAAATTCACCTGGAAAATTCATACAAGTACATTCAGTCTTTTTTAAAAGAAGGAGCCTTAGAGAAAGAACTTGAAGCATTAGCAAATGTTGTGTGTAATTCATTAGCAAATTTTGTCTCTTTTTGACCCCGCACCGCTGAGAAAGTTAGATTATTCATCCTTCCAAAATAGGGCTGGATATGGGTCACTATGATCTCGGTTTGCATTTGGCAAGGAAAAAACCCAGTTCCTCTTTCTGCTTCCCAAAGCGATCTGAACAAATATCAGCACCAATTCATTTTTTCTATATAATTTGTAACATTTAATTCTGATTCTCCCTTGAGTCTCATCTGTGGAAGAAAAGCAGCATCCAAAGGGAACGCATGAATGAATGAATGAATGAATGAATGAATGAATAACCAAGAGCGCATTTCTGACACCACTATTTGGCTCAAGGCCTTAAGAGAAAGCATCAACACCAATAAACACATTAACCTCCATTCACCACACCCTCATTATCTCTGCCTCTCCCTTCCTGACACTGACACCTACTTGGTTTGCATTTAGACTGTAAACTCCTTGGGGCAGAGACTTGGAAGACAGCATCCTAGCTTAGATCATGCTTCTCAGTTACCAAACACCAAAGCAGCATACATAATTTTTAACATCCTCGTTTGTGTATACTGAGAACATTTTCACAATTTTTCTAAGAAAGAGGTGCGAAGAACAGGAAGTATTTTTATTTTAAAAGCATTGTTTTTCTAACCCCAGAGGACTTTGCAAAGTTGTAAAGATCCTGGGTCCCTGGAATTGTGAATTCTTTAGGTTTTAGGGTCATACACGCACAACGTGGAGAAAAAAAACACCATCAATGCTGAATCCTGAGCCTGCAGTTTGATTTAAGGGCTGGGACAAATATTTGTAAATGTTCACTGCTCTTGGAACCCCATGTCCTCTTTCTGGTCTGATATATATTCTCCCGCTGATCTAATTGGCCCGAGTTTCTACCTAGGAAAGGAAGGATCCACAGACAAAGAATCCAGTGTCACTCAAAAGCTTGCAACACTTCAAGGCCGGAGTTTGTCTTGTGATTCAGACTCCCTTACATAAAGGTATGACTAAAGGGGCTGCTCGCGTTCCCCCAAAATCAACCCGCATCAAGGATCAGGACTGCTTGCTCTTACACAGAAGGAGGCAGGCTATATTTCAGCCTCTCTAGACAGTATTCACTTTTAGCTGCGGATATTCAATGTTTCTCTTAACCCTTTCCAGTCCGCCATCTTTGAATTTTGCGATGATCGTAGTAATACACTTTATCCTCAATATTATCCTGAGTGACTTTCCATTAATATTATCATTATAATGCTAATTTACTGCCATTTATTATTATTTCTGCTATGCTCTTCTATTTATTAGGTACTGCTCAAGGCATTTTAGAATCACGATCGCCCATAATAGTAGCAGCAAGTAAAAACAGGTTCAAAACAACTCCCTAAACAAGTCTACAAACAACTCAAATCATATCAACAAATGAAACAATATCGTAAGATTATTTTAAAAACAAGGGCATGAGATGATGATTGTTGACTCCCTTATCTTAGGACTGCAACACTTTCTTTAATCTTTATAAAGCTACCACAAAAAAAAAATAGTAACACATCACAGATATTGCAAGTTTCTATCTGGCTGTAAACACACAAACATTCTACTCTGGGTGGGAAAAAAAGGATTTTGGGTTCTAGCAGGACAGGATTCTGAAACTTTGGTGGATTTGAAAACCACATAAGAAGCTGGCATACACGCCCACAAAGCCTGTGGTGGCTTAAAAGGCTTTAACAGATCTGTTGTGGTCGAAGTTCTCTCCAAATAGCACTTGAGTTTTTGGGTGGGGTATTTTTTTTGACTGTGAATGTTCAGGCGACTTTCTTTCAAAAGGCTGGGGAGGTTGTGTTCTGGCTATAAATGAAGAGCTCTGGGGGGGTATTATTCATATTCCCGCCCCCCCACACACACACCTGTTCACACACACCCACTCCCCACCCACCCAAGATCCAACCATTTTGTGTGTGTCTGCGATAAACACAGAGAGCTTCCTCTCTCTCTCTCTCTTCTGGGCTAAATCCAGTTTTCGTCCCAGACCAAACCCATTAAAGCCCATGGAAGCGGTAACTGAAATTGTGGCTACCGAACCCCAGTTCTTTCCTGAGACAAGCGGCTACCCCCCCCCCAAATGCGGAAGGTTCCACCCGATGAGACGAGGAATCCGGTGTCACTCAAAAGCTTACAGCTCCACCAAAGTTTTCGGTTGGTTTTCTTTTTCTTTCTTTCTTTTTCGCGATTCGGGTACAAAAAAAGCACGCCCGTCTGGCTGATCCTACACTCCCCCCAAAAAACCACCCCTAAAGAGGAGAGGGGCAGGGGGGGGGACCCTCCGGCTCCTTACACGCGAGGAGGCGGGCTGTGTGGCCGAAATTAGCAAACCCCGGGGAGGAAAAGGGTTGGGCCGAGCCGGGGCCCGGCTTGCAGGCTCTCCCGGCCGATCTCGCTCCGGTCGCGCCACCGACGCGCGTTTGCGGGCAGCCTGCCTGCCGTTCCCACGTTACCTTGAAATCGTTCCCGCTGAGATCCACTCCCCGGATGAAGGGCAGCACCCCGGTCGCCGCCATGGCTTCCTCCCGGGAAGGGAAGGGAAGGGACGGAGGAGGAGGAGCGGCCGGCGGGGGTTGCCACTAAGCCAGGCAGGCGACCCCGGATCCGGACGCGGCGCTTCCTCCTTTTTGGACACAATCTGGAAACAAGCAGCAGGAGGGGGCGTGGCCTCGTTGGCGCCCCGCCCCGGATTAACCCTTTCCCGACCCAGGGGGAAAACCCCTTAAATCAAACCACCTTCGGGAGGCTTTTTGGGTGGGAAGGAGGGGGGGCGGAGGCAATACCAGGGCCTTGAAGCAGCAGCAGCCAGAAGAAGCAGAAGGGCCACTGAGCGGGGGGGGGGGGTGTCTCTGTGCTTTGGACTACATTTCCCAGAATTCCCTCGGGAGCTTGGGCGTCCGAGTGACTTTTTAATAACGGAAAGCCACGGTGGGGGGGAAGAAGGCGGGGGATCGGTCCCCTTTTTGAGCCTGGCGGGTTTCTCTTCGCAACACCGAATCGGGATGTTCAGAAGAGCTGGAGCCATGCCTGGTTCAAGAGGTTTCCCTCCCGGTCGCTCTTTTTTGTTGTTGTTTTGTTCCAGCAACCGCACCTTGTAAGGTTTTATAAGCCAACCCCTGCCCAGATTTGCACAGGAGCCCCTTCTGCAGACTCCTCGGGGCGGAGAATCCCTCCCCTCGGGCTGCTCCCCCCCTCCTCCCCGGTTTTCATAGCGTCACAAGGCGAGCGGAGGGCGCAGAGGCAAAGGGAGGAGGCGGCGCGGCCCCTTTAAGGCTCCGGAAAGAAAGCGGCCCCTTCTGAATGGCTTCCGCCTCCCTGCCTGACATCAAAGCGGGCCGGAAGCCCGAAGAGATACTCGGCGTTCTAAGATGGAACGTTGAGGGCGGCGGCGGCGGCG